AGAGAGAGAGAGAGAGAGAGAGAGAGAGAGAGAGAGAGAAAGAGAGAGAGAGAGAGAGAGTGAGTTACATTGATAGGTTGAGCGACGCACCTGCCAATAGGTAAGTCTCCAACCCTTCCTCGAAGTCATCGTTCTTTTCCTCCACGTCATCGTCCTCCTCGCACTCCACCTCTTCCTCGACGTCATCATCCTCCTCCCGCTCCTCCTCCTTCACATCTCCATCTGCCGCATTATTATTTTTTTTTATTTTTATTTTTATTTTAAGGGTGACGACCTTTGAAGATCATATTGAAATTGACTGACGTCATTGTACTACCGTTCCTCCTCCTCCTCCACGTCATCGTTCTCCTCCCGCTACCCTCCTCCTCCTTTCATCGTTGTCCTCCTCCTCTTCTCCACTCGTCGTTGTCCTCCTCCTTCTCCACCGAGCTCCTCCTCCTCCATGTCATTGCGATGACTTTATTAAAAAAACAAAAAAAAGGCCCACAACCTTGGGTTATCATTGTGAAACTGACCGATCGGTCCTCCTCCTCTACGTCATCGTTCTCCTCCCGCTCGTCCTCCTCCTCCACGTCATTTCTCTCCTCCCGCTCGTCCTCCTCCTTCAGACCATCGTTCTCCTCCCGCTCCTCCTCCTCCTCCACTCATCGTTGTCTTCCTCCTCCTCCTCCTCCACTGGTCGTTGTCCTCCTCCTTCTCCCCCGAGCTCCTCCTCGTCCATGTCATTGCAACGACTATATTAAAAAAAAACAAAAAAAGGTCACAACCTTGGGTTGTCATCGTGAAACTGACCTCCTCCTTCTCCTCCACGTCATCGTTCTCCTCTCGCTCGTCCTCCTCCACGTCATTTCTCTCCTCTCGCTCATCCTCCTTCTCCAGGCCATCGTTCTCCTCCCGCTCCTCCTCCTCCTCCTCCAGGCCATCGTTCTCCTCCCGCTCCTCCTCCTCCTCCTTCTCCACTGGTCATTGTCCTCCTCCTTCTCCCTCGAGCTCCTTCTCCTCCATGTCATTGCGACGACTATATTAAAAAAAAAAAAAGGGCCACAACCTTGGGTTGTCATCATGAAACTGACCGACCGGTCTTCCTCATCCTCCACATCATCGTTCTTCTCCCACTCTCCCTCCTCCACGTCATCTCTCTCCTCCCCCTCGTCCTCCTCCTCCACGTCATCTCTCTCCTCCCGCTCGTCCTCCTCCTCCACGTTATTGTTCTCCTCCCACTCCTCCTCCTCCTTGATATCCTAGTTCTTTCTCTCGTTGTTCGTCGTCCTCCAAGTCTTCGTCCTCCTCCCGCTCCTCCTCCTCATGTCCTAGTTCTTTCTCTCGTTGTTCGTCGTCCTCCTCCCGCTCCTCCTGCTCCACCACGTCATCGTTCCTCTCCCCTTCCTCCTCCTCTCTCTCTCTCTCTCCTCCTCCTCCTCCATTGATTTTCTTTTTTTAGTTGGAAAGAAAATAATGCCTTCACATAATAGCCATAAGTGAACTTCGATTTATTTTTGTTTTTGCAAAGGATCAGAACTTTGATCTTTTTTTTTTTTGACAGACCTTTTTTGTTTATCGAATTAAAGGGAGGTGGTTTTTTCATTTGTTAAGGATTTTTATTTCCCTTTTGTAAGGAAACATTTTTTTTTTTTGTGAAGGATGACGACCTTGATCATTATTGAGCGGACTGACTCGAGGAAATCGAGAAGTGAATTTTTTCGCTACTGATCATAGGGTCATCTGTTGTCATAAGTATTGGCATTGTGGTTATCATCAATGGTTTCATGGTCGTGCGTCATGGTTCATAGGGCCTCACTCCACTACTCTCGACATGCACAAAAGACAAAAAAATATGACGGCGCATCTTCCCATGTTCTAGTGGAAGATTCGTATTAATTTTGCACATTTGGTGAGTAGTGGAGCGAGACGCATAGTCATCATTTCATCGGTGAGTAGAGGGGTCAGTTTCATGATGATATCGCAAGGTCGTTACCCTTATCAAAAAAAAAACACGAAAAAGGAGGACCAGGTGCAGAAGCTACACCTGACACTAAAGACTAGCTTGGGCCTATGACATACTCTGATCGGAAGGTCTGATCGTGCCTATGTTTCTTCTTGAAAAACACGCACCTGGCTTAAATCCTGTCTTGGTTTGTGCTCTTCTGACGTGAATGTACGACCTATAGCACCTGACCTATCGGGTGACATCGGATACACCTACGGGTCTAGGGAACGTTGCATGAACCTTTCATCCATCTTGCACAAATGAAGGTCCTTCCAGTTAGTTTATCAGAGACCTCGCTACACTCATTTTTTTATTATTATGATTTTTTTTGGAATGAAGGACAATGGACTTCAAGAAGTTTGAGTATCATTATTGAACTGCCTGCCCCGAGGTAACTCAGAGATGGTGTATCCATCAAATATTTCAAGACCCGAACCTCTGGATCTTTTTTTATCAACAGTTATTCATGGGTGTGCCATTGCGTTCATACACGTAGGCTGAATACCTCCCCAAGGGAATTGAGAAGTGCGTTATTTCGCTAATTACATTGCATTCCGATTCGAACTTGGGTCTGCATTTCAACAGTTCATGGGTGTAGCCATTGAAGTAGGCTCCTTGGTGTAAGAGACCTTTCCCCTTCGCCAGTTAACGAAAATTTTAAAACTATTTCTTTTTTTTTTCCATTTCGAGATACAGATTAGTTGTGAGATTGAATCTTGCAATTACATCTCAAATCACATTTTTTCAAACTTTCGAATTCGGCACTTTACGTTTAACTTTTAAACACAGGGGGTTAAGGAAAAAGGGTGAAGGAGGGGGTTAAGTGGGCAAGGGCTGATTACAACTTTGTGTGTGCATGGCATTTGTTGTTTTTGTCATGCAGGTCCCAATGGACCTGTTGAAGTTGCAGGCTTAGTGAGGGTGCATTGGACCGTGGGTGGAAGGAATGTTCTAGGTCCGGTTCAGACATTCATTTTCAGTAATTAATAACTGTATTAGTTTATCAGTGTTGAAGTTGTCTTTTGTTCCACATTGCTACTATTCTTCTTTTCATTTTTTTGTATTTTTTTTTTCTTTGTTAGTATCTGGATTCGAACTTGAGCCTGTATTATAACAGCTTAGCGATGTGTCATTTCACTTGGGTCTGTTTTTGCCCGGCGTGGATGCTAAGAGGTTAGGTGTTGTGATTTACAGCAGTTGCTACTTGCTTGGAATCTACCGCTTCTCAATGGATCCTGCTCTCCATGAGGGGTTTGGGTCATTAGACAATTCGGATCAGTCTAACTCCAAACAGAAAACGACAGTGACGGAGCAGAACAAAAGCACCGGGACATCAGGCTCTTTGGCCACGACCACTTATATGAAACATTTTAAAGTGGTCGTTCAGGCATCGCTTCAAAAAGGAGGAACCAACCCTCCTTTTAGTTTAAAAGATGAGAACGAAAACTCTTCTGAGATTTGAAAATCGTTTTCCCATGTCTATTCCGCTGATGGTACCCCCGTACGTGAGCACAACAGCGGATAT